GACAGTTGGACAGGATCTCTGATCGGGTGAGCGACAATATCTCTAAGATAACCAGGCACCCGAATTTGGCCGCCAGCCACATAAAAGTTGACCCCCATACCCGAGGTGCTGAGCTCGACGCCAGGGTTCAACACACGCATTTGATTCACGACATTCTTGAAGCTCCCCTTGGAAGCGGCCTAAGCGTCATCCACATCCAACTAGAAACGAGCAACCAATTATGCCCGAGTCTTCAGGTCCTTAGTATCCTCCAGCTCATCCTCAACGGGCGTGATCTCAGCAGTTAGGGCTGCTACCTTTCCCTTAAGACCCTCTCTCGAGTAACAGAACCCTACGTTCCTCTGAGATCTTCCCCAATTCTTCCTCGGACAACTTCAGGGCTTTATCCTTCTCAACCAAGGCCTTCTCGCTCGCAACCAGCTTAGCCCGAAGATTCTTCATTTCTGCCTCCTGGGATGAACTCCCCTTGGTGTAAGCAACCGCCATCTCCAGGATCCGCATCAAGTCGCCCGCATCCTACACCAACATCACCCTCTTCTTCGGACGGCCCATTCCCTTAAGGAGGAGATATTCGGCCCGAGGAAGACGGGGAGCCGCACCCTCGAAAAAGGACTTCTCCAGCCAGTAAGGAGGTAGGTCGTACGTCCCTTTCCCTGTTTCCCCAGTCAGGTCAACACTCCCATCAACTCGCGGTCTCTTCGCCTTTGAAGAAACGACAGCGGGAGAGAGCGACTGTGGCCAAAATTAAGGATGAGCCGCCCGACCCTGAGGCAGGAGTTGGCCCCACACCAGTATGTGCATCCTTCGAAGCCCTCCTCGCTCGAGCAGCAAGAGTCTTGTCCAAATGCTCTTGGGCAGGATTCATGCTCTCTGCAAAATAAACAAAAAAAAGCAGTCAGTAAAATAAGGAGTCAAACAAACGATGATCACTTACTGCTATTAGAAATATATATACCCAAATATCTAACGGGATCCTCGCTTCTGAGGAGCTCCTTGACGTTTATGCTGCTCGGGTCATATACGGGCTCCCCGTTCTTATCTAACACATGCCTACCTCCTCAACTAACTCGCTGAACCCGAGGGATTTGAGCCACTAACGCGGTCAGAGTAGAAAAACTCTCTAGATCCTTGTCTCCGAGCTCCCCCTCTCTCCAAACATAGGAGCCCAATTCTCTATCAAAATGTTTCCTCGTCCATTGGAACGGGAATTTATAAATCAGCTTCGCAGTATGCTCCCCCAATTTGTTTATACAGGGAGTCCCATCCTCGTTGAGCAATGGCGCAGTCCTAAAAACATTCAACATCACCTTTGTCGAGGAGGGCTGCACCAAGAAATACTTGTCTTTAAAGTGGAGGACAAACTCCAAATAGGCCTTGAATAACTTCCCATTGCCTTGCTTGAGGAAGACCCATCCCTACTTTCTGTCGACCTTATTCTTCTGGATGTGAAAGCAGTAGAAAAACAATGGAATGATGGCCCCTATCTTCATATGGTCGCAGACTATCTCGAACGCTTGCAAGAATGTGATACCATTCAGATGCAGTTGAAAAGGAGCCACACGCAAATGCCAGAAAATGGACACCTCGAAGTCGAAGAAGGGGAGGAGAAGACCCATCTCTCGAAAGACAATGTCATACATCGGGATCCGCCTCCTATCATACTTCGAGTAGATCCTACTCTCCTTCCCAGGAATATATAACGAACATTCCTCTAGAGCCCCCTCCTCAAGAGTGTATACGTCCGTAAAGATATCCTCCCCGTGCTCGTAAAAATACGACTGCCACTCCTAGGGGTCGTTCGCAACCCAATCCCGAGGATCCTCTTTGTCTCCAGGAGGAAACAAACTTCCATGGTCTACAGAGGTCGCCCCCACGCCAGGCTCCCCCATTTGTTGTCCCATCTGGTTCTGCACATCCCCAGAGATTTCCAGGATGCTTGATGAGCTACTTGTCCCATTTGAGGAACTCCCGGAAGACTGTGTAGATTCACTCGAAATAACGACTTGAGCAGTATCATCCATGGCACCTGAAAAGCAGACGGAAAATATGAGCTCGACATCAATGCCAGAACCACCCTTCCACCGCTAAACAAGCGAAAGGGCGCTGGGAAACGAGGATCACCTCCCCGACCGGAACCCTCACTGAGGCACACTAACGGGAATGAATTGCAGAAAAAGCCCTAAACTCTCATTGAGGCATACTAACGGGCATGAATTACAGAAAAAACCCTAAGCCCTAACAGAACCCTAAATTGTAACCGCATGCATCTCTAGAAGGGAAAAGGTGAAATTACCGAAGCAAACAACAATGGAGGATAAAAAACTTACCAGTAATAGAAGAAAAGATGAAAGTTAGCAGATGCGAGCAGAGAAAATCAACGAACTCCAGTGGCCGACCGTCGAGCTAATACGAGCAATTAAGAGAGAATGCAAAAAATACTAAACGTCCTGTTCCTCTCGTATTTATAGCTGAGATAATCCGCAGGTGCAAGACACGCGCCTGGGAACCCTATGGTCGTCATCATTACACCCTATCCCTAGGCCATCATTACGCCGCTTCACCAACACGTTTCCCAAAACACACTACCTCTCCAAATTCAAAAGTCCAAACGATCAACTCCTCGTCTCCCCGCAAGCAACGGGCAACACTCATTTCCCTGTAAGATACGCTTCCTTCCGCGAGCAATGTTAAAGTCATCACTCCTGCACCCAGAAGCAACAACTTGGGGGGCTAATGTTCTAGACTGGCTCGACAGCTAGAATGGGCCCAGTCTAACACATTTCCTTTGGTATGACCCGCACGACCGTGACCCGGATTGCCCACTACCTATTGGGCAATGTCAACTGTTTGCCCTCCTGAACCAGCACTGACCTAGGGTGATCGACGAGTATCCTCTCAGCCTGCCCGACATCAACGTCGTGCAGGCCACCAGAAACCGACCAAAGAGATGCTCGTAACTAACCCCCTCCCCGGGACCAACGACTAGTTACGAGCACACCTGCCCGGTTTGACCAAGTCTTGGAAGTTACATGATTTTACGGACCCGCATATCCAGACGTGAAATCAGGAACCAATCGCTACGCGCCAGAGGCATTATATATACCCCAACACCTGTGAGGCCCAAGTATCCAATATTCACCACTCACTACCTAATACTTTGTCTGTACCTTCTTGTTCCCGCTCTTACTTGATCGTCGGAGTGCCTTGCAGGTACAACCCTTTTTTTCTCCTCGACTTCACAGCCCGACTACAGATCATCTTCTGACCACTCCTCAGGAAATCTTGAGTGGGTATATCCCTCCTCGCCATTCGTGGATTTATCCCCGAAGGACAAAGCCTGGTCGACCAGAAGAGTGGAATCTCTTCCCGACATGGTCGAGGGGAGACTCTATCCTGCTGACCCTCTCATGCAGCATAATTGGACTGGGCCTTGTATGATGTGTGGGCCAAGTGCAGGCCCAGTCCAGAACAGATTCCAATATAAAAAAATAAATAAAAGCCAAGTCAGTAACGTTATCCACATATGCTTTTTTTAACAGAACTTTTACGTTAGAGACTAATGCCAATAGGAAAATGACATATATGGACTTGGACCAAACAAAAAATAAGATTTAGGGACAAAAATAAAAAACTTGCCAACTTATAGGTATATATGGCTACAAAACTCATACCGCAAGTACCCGCCCGAACCCACTCCAAGTTTGACGAAAAAATCCCGTTTAACTGGATTTGGGTATGAGTTTGAATTTTCTCTGATTTTAAAAGATGGGTATGGTGCGGGTAATAGTGACACTAGTATTCACTCCAAAGTCATCTCGTTGATAATTTAAAATATTTTATTTTAAAAGTTCATATTAATTGTTTGAGTAGTACATTGATATTTTGTTTGTACTTTTATTATTTGAAATATTTGAAATGTATGCTAGAAAAATTTCATTATTATTTAATTTACTTTTTTTTAATATTTGTTAGAGTTTGAGATGAATTTGAGTTTGAGAAAATTAATCATTTAAATCTACAAAATTGATTCTGATGTGGGTATGAAACCTGACGGAGATACCCGAACTCATTTGAATTTGAACTGGAAAACAAAATTTTAATTGAAATTCTAATTAGAGTTTAAATAAGGCAAAACTCGTCCTCACCCTACCCTGTTGCCATACTTATTTACATAATTTAAAAAATATTTAAACTTATAAAAATGCCTAGTTACATGACCAAAAAAAAACTATTTAAATTTATAAAAAATTTAGTAATTTTGATTTATTTTTAGAATTTTAAAAAATTAATTGTATTTAATTAATTATTTTTATAATATAATATTAAGTGAAAGAAGTTTTTTTTTTTCTCTCTCTCTCTCTCCATTTTCATATACATGTATTTGAGCCGAGGAATATTTAGAATTGGAATAGCCGAACCGGTCATCCAAAATTAAAATTTATAACAAATATTACGACCATTTGGAACTAATTGCAAGTGCTGCTACTAGGGTTCTCTTTCGCATTCGAGATTTCACATTTGGGGAAAATGGCCGGTTTACCTGCGAAGCTTCGTATTCAACCCTCCGACGTCAAAGCCGCCGCCTTGTGGGGCGTCACCGCCGCCACCGGCGCCCTCTACCTTGTCCAGGTATGCATCTTTATTCTCCTTCCGTAATTCTGATTCTCTTTTTTTTTTGTCTTCTCAAGGTTCCTTAGAAAGGTCATACCCGATGTTAAGAATTTGTTCGCTATACCTTGTTTGGATCTGAGATTTCGCTTTCGATCATCAATTATCTGTTTATTCTAATCAAAACTCGTGTTTTACCTGCTTCATTCATGAAATCAATGTTATGTTTTTTTCTTTATTATCTTTTTGACCTTTGTTTATTGAAATGACCGATAATCAATGAAATTGACCTATCATTTTTGTTGAGTCCACAATCACGTGCTGCAATCATGTCATAAATGATGAATTTCTCCAACACGTAGATCTTTTGTGCACATCACAATATTTTAGTATCATGTAAAATTTGTTGGTGTTTGTTTGATATACATAGTAATCAATGTCTTGTACAATTTTATTTCATAGCTTTTGAACTTTTTGTTCTGCTTTATGGTGGACCAGACGTCTTTAAAGCATGGATGTTTAATATCAGGTTTTGTTTGTCTCTGATGGTGATGGAATTCTTTTCGGTTGAAAGTTAGTTTACTCCAATTTTCATTAAAATTTGATTCATAAGATCTTTTGATAGGTGCGTTGTTTGTTGAATTTGGCATAGTCATTACATGTTCCCGTGCATCCCTGCTTCAGTCACGAGGATGAAGAGTTAGATCCCAACTCTTCGATTCGGATATGTTTTAATGTCATAAATTATGATATGTTTGTTAGCTCATTACTAGAAGTCTAGAACTGAAAATTGCTAATCTGAAAAGATAAGTTGAGTTATGCAGATATGTCAGACTTCTAGCTCAAACCCTTATCCTCTCAATTCATGTCTATGTTTTACCTGGACTGTCATAGACTAATTCCTGTGTCAAACTTCCTGGGTTAAACCAAAAAGCCCAAACCTGATCATTGGTGAATTCGATCATATGAACTTGGTGTCCGGCCCAGATTTGAATCCTCAGCCTTTTCTCTTTTACTTGACATGCACTATTGCTTTCCAAGGGAAAAACAATCTGAGTTAGTGGAGAACCTGCGTATTTGGAAAAAGGAACACACAATCAGGGATAGCTGCCAATGAGACCATCGAAGGCAGTTACTGTTCTTAAAGCACAAAAGAGAACGAAAAGGGAAGAAAAGGGGTTAAGTTAATCATTGCTTTGAAAAACACCCAGACTTATCACCGCACATTGTAGGTCAGGTCTACTAATATTCCCCTCCGGAACATTGCCTATCGTTCCCCCTTGTATTCTCATTTCTCCCCCCATCATAACTTGTACCTCCTGCTAGTCTTTTTAAGCTCAGCATTTGGTCTTGCTCTGGACATACCAACATGAAGATGCCTTTCTATTTTCTACTCCTTACCCTTATGTGTTAACCCTCTATTTCCCATCCCTTTCCTTGAAGCATATACCTTGGTAAGGGTCCAGCACTTAACCTTCATGTCTGTATAACCATACACAAGCATAAAGCCATACATAGGTAGCTGTAAAGGAAAGGACTAGGGTAATGGCTCCAAAATATATTTATTAAGTTGGATACAAGTCTTCAAATTGAATGCTTTAATGAGGATGTTGGTTCTTCTTAATTAAAGCATCTTCAGTGATCTGGAGGATGTTGCCACGATTTGGCTTAAACATCCTTCATCTCTGGGCATAAATGGCTTTTAAATGAATTTCTCCACTTTTGTAATCTGTGTTTAGATGTGTAACATTTTGCTTTTATTACGTCTTCATATATGTTTGTTGTTAAATCATAGTGCAGTTCTAAACTTCTAATGCATTTTTTTTGTATAAATCACTTGCAGCCTTGGGGCTTTTTGAAGAAGACCTTCTTTGAGAAGCCAGAGCCTGAGCAAAAATAAATTGAGAAGTGAGAAGAATAATTTGAATTTTTGGATCATGTTAATGACGGGTAGCTGAATAACAGTAGAATTATGTTGTTTTCTGCTGAGACATGTGGTGATTTTGGATATTAATTTTAATGTTGTCTGCTGGTTGTTTTTACCAGAGATTTTGTCATAAACAATGTTTAAAAAAATGAGAGTTTACTCAAAATTGGTAGAGGATTCAAAAATCGTAACTCGGGGATGGTAACACATACTGTAAGATTCTACTACTAGTAGAAAAATATATTTTTATATGTAGAATACATGCATATGCTCCAAAAAGAAAAATAATAAGTTGAAAGTCATAACCATAAACTCACAAGTTCACAACAATAACCCTACATTCGAACAAAATATAGAAAAAGTTAGTTCAAAATGAAAACTATCTAAAAGCAACTATTCTAAACATTTAAAATGTCATCCAATTCCTATAAGCATAGTCATCTTTATTCTCTTCTATTTCTTCACCTTCATTCTCTTCTAATTCAACCAGATCATCATTAAAAGGACTAGTAGGAAAATCCAAATCATCTCCAACACCACCACTAGGGACATTTTCTCCAACATTAAGCATGACGTCTTCATCTATACAACCATTACCATCTCTATCCTTGCCATTCATCTTTGAATGAAATATTTTCATAAAAGTTGTAAGACGATTTTCCAGCTTTTTTTCTTTTTGCTTTTTTTGCTTTAAACGGTTCTTTTTTTTTTGTATGGACCTAAATGAATTATAAAAAAAATTAAAACAAGATAATCAAGATTCTTAAAAGTTGAATACTTAAAATTTTATTTACCCTTTCAAAGATACACCAATTTCTTTCACAACCAGATAAACTGTAAGTTAAACTCAATACCCGTATGATAAACCACTGCAATTCAGGATGTGCGCACTTCCATAAGATCTTCACTATTGTGTTGGCGTTTTGGTTTTAAGTGTGAACGTGGCTAAATCACTATCAAATTTTTCATCCTTTTCTTTAAAGCTTTCAAGTTGGTAATCAATCTTAGAACGCTTTTCTAAGTCTGACACCATCCTGTTCAAACATTCATACATCTCTTTTACAACCTCATTATCAATAGTGTATTCGGGAGCATAATGTAAGACGGGGTTAAGAAAATTGTCAGCAACATACAATGGTTGATGTAGTTGTTTATCCCATCTTTCATCAATAATTTTTCATATTGATTTGTAGCTATGAAATGGGTGAAATGAATTAGATTTGAAACAAAGTGTGTGTAAATTTAAAAAAATAAAGGATAAGAATACAATAATTACCTACTATCGACTTCTTTTAAGTCTGATCGAATCCTTTATTTTACTTGGTTCATCTCTTCATAAATGTAACCTATGGCTGGTTTCTCATTTGAATTCATCATGCGAAGCACCCTAATTAAGGGAAAAACACCCCTTATGTAATACACAACATCTTTCCAAAATTTCTTATCAGTAACCAAACCTTCCATAAAGATCCCATCATCGCTCTTTGCAATTTTACTAGACTTCCATTCGTTTGATATAAACATGTTTTTTAGTGATGCCATATTTTCATACAAACACCCCAAGGTTAAATATGAAGTGGCAAAGCGAGTTAGGCCAGGTCGAATCAAATCACCATCTTTAGTAAATTTATGCAATAATAAAATTAGACACGTTCTTGCATAAATAAAGGTTGTGATCCTCTTACCTCTTGAAATCGTCTCTTTGTGCAGTGTTATCTTCTTTTCTAAATCCTCTAACATCAAGTCGATACAATGCGCGACACAAGATATTCAATACAACTGTTTCCACTTTTGCATCAACTTATCGTTGACTGCTTTGTAATTCGCTGTATTGTGGGTAACAACTTCGACCACATTATTTTCCCTAACTTCCTCAACAACGTCATTTATTATCTTGAATACCTTGTATATAGTCTTACTTATGTCTGATGCACCAATAAATTTCAAGAAAATAGTACCTTTAGGACTATTCATCAAAAAAATAAGTATAGTTCTTCTTCTCCTATCAATCCATCCGTCAGTCATTATGGTGCATCCTAACTTCTTCCAAACAGTTATATATTCATCTAAATCATCAATGATTTTGCTCAAGTGATGATTTAAATATTTCCCTCAAACCTCATAATTGGATGGTGGTTTAAATCCTGGACCATGTGTAGCAACAAGTTTAAACATATGATTTCGTTCTTCACTGTTAGTGACATTAAATGGAATATCATTGGTGTAAATATTTAGAGCGATGGTCTTACAAGCATCTTCCCTCATATTTTTTTCCACATATTGTTGATGGTCGCTTGAGAAGTAACTCATATTTCCCTTTTCTTAAACATATTTGTTGTGTTCAAAGTTTGTTTTTAGCTTTTTCTTTTTGCGATAAAGCTGGATAATTCGGCGACACTATTAGACTCTTCAATGTCATATAAATTTGATTTCTTAATTAGCTTAGTTTGAAAATCAATAACAACCATCATTATTCCCTTCTTAACTTCATCCAGAACAGCTCGACACGGTTTGACGTCCTTACTAGTACCGACTAAATGATGTTTGAGTCGGTAAACTCTTCCATTAAACTCTTTTCTATAATAGTTGCATTTCCTACTTTTTGTGTTCGGAATAGGAAAGCAATGCTTCCATGCCGGATCCAATTTATTTTCGCGAGCATTCTTTGAAATTGTTTTGTTGGTTATAGGAGGTATGGATTTTGTCTTGGTTACAAGAGGTATGGATGAGTTTGAAGTCATGGAAAAATAGAAGAATAGTGGAGTAGAAGAACAGGGGAGGAAAAATAAAAGAAAATAGAGAAGGATTGCGAATGAATTTATGAAGAAACATGAATGAGAGAATAGAATTTATGCTTAATAATTGATTGTAAATTGTAATGGTTGAATTGATGAGAAAGGCTGCGTAATTGATAAGGAAGGTTGCGTAATCTCGTTTTACGAAGGGTGGAATAGAAAGAAAAAATTCTAATTTATTGAAAATTTCAATCGTGTCAAATGATTGTTTTTAAATAATAATAATAATAAATTAAAATTAAATAAAATTTGACTCGGATCGAGGTCCGTTTTAGAATTTTTTTTTTATATAAAAAACCCAAAAAATATGCATCGCTTCAGTATTCATGCGCCACTTCAAAAATACAAAACGATTTTGAATTCTAACTTGGTCGATTTTACCGAATTTGTGATTTACCATATTACTTGAATCGCAGCACGAAAACATGGGAATAAAACATAACTCGTACATTTTTGCGAGTTAACTCGCGATTCTACAAACACTAGTCATAAATGATTTACTTTGTCTTTCCATATTTTGAACGAGCCATAAATTTGTGTCATTTGTAATCTTTTACCGAGAATGATAATGCACATGTATATTTGAACTATATATAACCATATTCACAATTTGAAAATTTAATTTCATAGTTTTCACACATGTCATCGATTCTGTCAAACTATTGGATTACTGATTGAATTCAGAGATTATTGATCGAACCACATAACTTTTAATTCAATTTATACAAATTAAAAAAATTATGAAATAAAATTATTGACATAAATTTCATAACTATAAAATATTTTTTGTATTTTACAATTATTTAGTGATTATAAATAATAATTAAATTAGATTTTAAAAGAGGGACAACAAAACTTAAACAAAAATTAAGAAAACAAAATTATAATAAAATAAAAAAATAAATATAAAAGATTAATTTGTCGAATTAAAAAA